GTTTGTTTTGCTAATAATGTTAAATATACAATTCTGTGTATATTTAACACTATTAGAATTCATTCTCATTACTATTCTAAATTAGTATTATAGTCCTGGTGACAATTTGAAATTCTTAAAACAGTGCTCAGGATGACATAATCCACAAAATAATTAGCTACATATTGCCCATAAAATAACAGCATGAATAAAATGATATGAATTTATTTTTACTTTCAAAATAGGTTATAATTTTCTGTCAGAAATTAATTTGAATGATGTCAGAATTCAAATTAATCATCTAGTTGCTGTTTTCCTATTCATTTGAGGGAGGCCTGGATTTTCCCTGTAGCTACAGAGTAAACAGTGTATATTCAGTTCTCAATACATGCAGTAAAACTGTTGCCTTTTCCAAAATAATTTGACAGTGTTGAGATTAAAAGTCAAAACATTGTCTTTTCTTTGAATTATAATTGCACATAAAAGGGAAAAAAAATAAATTCATGCCCTCAAGTCAGTGTTGACTCCTGGCAACTGCATGGACAAGTCCCTGGAGTTTTCTTGTCAACGTTTTTAGAAGTGGCTTGCCATGGCAATCTTCCTAAGGCTGGGAGAAAGTGACTGCCCACGGTCATCCAGCTGGCTTCGTGCCTAAGACAGAACTAAAACCCACATCTTGGTTTCTAGCCTGGTGCCTTTAACCACTACACTAAACTGGCTCTCTAATTGTATGTAACTCAAAAATAAATTCAAGAAGAACATAATTTAAACCCATACTCAAAAAGGTCCCAGAAACCATAATTACCAAAATAAGGGGTTGATTTGAACCTATACCCAAGTTTACATAGCTCATTAGTCCAGCTGCTAGAAGTCTCTCTGCAAGTTAGTATATTCACTCTCTTTACATTATTGTTATTGTTTGTATACATGTTTTTGCTTTGGTTTGCATGATATACAAATTGCTAAACTGGTTCCCGGTAGTCTTGCCAACCTTCATACCATTTGCACTATGGCTTGGAAACCACAGTCTTCCAACCTAACTTCCTTCACAGGTTACTTTTGAGGATATATTGGAATTGTAATACTTGAGGTAGAAGCATTTACTATTCCCTTAGGGATTTTATCTGAAAACTTAAACAATACCTTAACAAGAATGTAACATACTTTAAAACAAATTCAATTCAGTAATTAAGCTCAGAGATTTAAAAATGAAACTATAATCAGCAGCAGGAAAAACAAGAGTTTTGTTTTTCCTATCACAAAGCTATGGTACACACCCAGCATATTCTAATGTTCAACTAACAAGCTTTATGGAAGCTGTGTTGAAGATACACTATTTAATGACTATAAATTATTTGATCTGATGTTTGACTGAAATAAGTGAATTCTGATAGTTTGAGAATTATCAAGCGTCAACATATTGGACAACATTAACAATTATTTGGATTCAGAACCCATTATATTAAGACTCAAGATGCAACTGAATAGGTTAATACCAATTTGCGTTCCACCACATGCACTACCAATTCACTGTTGAGGCTGAGATCATGCAAACCATTCTTATAATCAGTTACTATCAGCATAAAAGAAACAGAGGTGTCAATTTTAATATTCTTCAATCCAGTATTTTTATGCTTATTCAATGCAGCAGGCTGCTTGGAATCATCTTTCTGACATAACTTCATCAGAATATTGAGTTTTTCCCCCAGGAAAAATGCCTATATAACACCAGCGTCAATGTTCAGTTCCCAGCCACAGCATAATACATTTTATTTGTGGCCTAATGATCACCTATTATAAGGCATGCAGCTGCTAAAAGATGCCATAATATCTCTCTTAATCTGCAGCATTTAAGCAGCTCATTGGAATGCACTAATGGCAAACACATTTACAATTCAGTATTGTGACTTGTTCCTACTACATGTTTATTATTTTGGTCAACTTAACTACAGTTTAGTCAATTAACCCAAAATTCCGGGTTCACACGCCATGCAGAACCAGAAATCTATCAAGCAGCCTGGACTCACACTCCACAGAAGACTAAAATGCACCTAGCTGGTTTGCAGTTTACTGTGTTATGCACATACCACTGATTGGTTCCCACGTTATTTTTTGGTTCAACAGCATCACCAGAACCTTCAGTCCTATTCCCAACCCCACACACATGAGCTGTGGTTTTTATTGTCCCCAAGGATTTTTATCCATGTAGGCACACAGCCCACATCCCAAAAGGTACTCTACCTTCCAAGTTCCTCTCCAATCTCATAGTGATCCTCCAGGTTCTCTTGCCTGAAGACAGTCATGATAGCTGCTGCTGCTCAGAAGGGAAAGCCCACAACCAGCTCGCTGCCTTTGCCTTTCAACTCATCACCACCACCTTGGTAGGATCTTCCAGGACTTCATGCATGGCCGCTAGCTCTGGAGAAGAGACGCAGAAAAGCAAGGGGTGAGTTAAAATGCCCATGTTTGCAAGAAGGGCGCGGTTATGTCACTGTTTTCTCACCGCACATACGTACACACACCACCACGCCGACAGTGCCCATAAGCAAGCGTGGCTGGGAAATCGCAGCTGAGAGCAGTGGCTAGTCCCGGGTGGCCACCGGCTGGTTAACTTTGCTCTCTAACAATCGCCGGCCCTCGGCTGCCAATTTGGCTCACAACAAATGGAAGCCGCCGGCCCTCTCCCTGCCTCACATGCACGAGCCTCTCCCCCTTCCCTAGAGCTGCGAAATGGAAACACCAGCCAGGGAACAGAAAGTAACCCTTTTTTTCCTAGAACGACGCCTCGCTGGGGAGGGGAGAGAAGGAAGGAAAGGCGCCTCCTGAACTCCAAGCGCCGCTTTCTAACGCGCATCTCACCTTGTTCCCCGCACCGCAAGCGGGAGCACCGAAAGCCACCATTTCACCTTAGCCAGGAGCTCTGAGCCGCACGGACGCCACATTCCTCAGCGACTCCCCCTCCGTTACCCGGTCAACTAGGACGTGCAACCGGGAGGAGCCGCCGCCGCCTAAAATCCGCCTGCTTGGCTGTCGATGAAATCCAGCTGGCCAGGCGCAGGCATTCCCCTTCGCCCTGCCGGGAGGGGCGCCGAGATCCTCGCGCTTCTCCTCTTTCGCCCCTGCTCTCCTGGAAGGCCTTCCCCACTCACCTCCCCCAGCGTTGGCGAAGGAGGGAAGCAGCCCGGCGAGGAAGGGACGGAAGCCCCCCGACTCGTCTGGGGGCGCCGCCGCCGCAGGGGGAGGAGGGGACGCGCACCGTGGACCTCTCCTTGGCGCAGAGAGCCTCCTCCGGCTGGGGCAGCGAGAGCAGGGGGAGAAAACCCGCCCCTCCGCCTTTCCTCTCCAGCTCACTCACCCTCTCGCGCTCTCTTTTCCGGCGACAACCTCCCTTTCTAATCGTTCGCACTCTTCGGAGCCGAGCAAGGGAAAAGCACTCCGGCAGGCGGCCAATGGGAATGCCGCCACGCTTACACCCCTCCTCCTCCTCCTCCTCCTCCTCTCACGACCTGCCCACGCCAGCGGTGAGCACGGGGGAGGGGGGGAGGGAGGGAGGAAGGATGTAGCTCGTGCGCACGCACGCACGCACGGGCCCACAAAGGCGTGCAGGTGCGGAGCGGGTGTCCCTTTCGCTGGCACCTTGGCACATATTCGAAGGCGCCGGGACCTCCCTGCCGCCGAGTAGAAGAATACGACTTAATCCACTCGGAGGGCTTTTGCAGAGAGTAATGGCCAGTATGTAAGTACTGCCCACCCTTCTCTAACTTGGTGCCCTCCGGTTGGATTCCAACTACCCATGATTGCCGGGCGCGAGGCTAGTTGGGAATCGCGGGAGCTCTGCTTAACGCATTGGGAAGGCACCCGGTTCCGAATACCCACCAAAGTGAATTGTAGCGTCCACAGGTATAGCAGGCAGTAAGTGTAGAACCCTTTTGGACCATGATTGTAGTGCCTTATCCAAAAGTTGGCGTTTCCCTTGGCTGTCTGACAAACAAGGTGTGCTTTGTCAGAGATACGCTTCCTAATCAAAAGAGTGTCTTGCAGTTGTTCGATTCTGCAGCAGGTTAAGCTTATAGGACTGAATCCCCACATTTTCATCTTTAACTGACATGCACAGGGGCAACACTGATGAAACCACCAAGGTTATCTATGCATTAACCTGAAAATATGACATATTTTTTCAAGGATGTTATTTCCCATGCTAGCATCATTTTATTGATTGATTGATTGATTGATTGATTGATTGAATTGTCTGTAACCAGACTGGAATTGTGTGTTATGATCAGATCAAATGCCAGTATGATAATATGCCAAAATTCACTGGGTCACTTCTGAACACAGTTCTAATTGTTGGGAGCTGTGACTGGGATCACAGCAGCTGAAGGAAAATCCCATCTCTTCTATTCCTACCTAACTCTGAAATCCACACCAAAATTGAAATCACTTGGCCAAAATTCCTGCATGCTGCACTATTGTATCTAATCAGGACTTTCAGCAATAGGTGAAATTTTCAGTTTTTGGAATACGTGAAAGAAATAAGCCTATTGCTTAATTTTTGACCTTTTTAGCCTTCTCTTGGGCTTATTTATCTTATATTTCCATTGCTTTGTCTTGTAATGTTATGTCTGTGATTGGCATATATTCTTTGTGAAGGAGGTTCTAGCTTTGCTGCTTTTAATTAGTTCTTTTTTTTTCTTCTAAAGTTGTATATGGTATTTTTATTTTGTGCTTTTATGATACATTACTCTGAAAAAATAGTAAACCATTTTGAAAATTATCCTGAAGATCAGAAAGTCACTATATTAATGCTCTATTAAGATTGGTTGTTTGCTGTAATAAAAAAATATTTAAACAATCTTGAAAAAAGATGTTGAAATAATGTAGTAAAGGATCATGGCACAAAGTACTATAGTTTAGTAGTGTGTACACATATACCCCCCCCACACACACACATACACACACATACACTTTGTGAGGCTCAGGACTTACATAAATTTTAAAAGCTCTGCTACATACAGTAAAGTCCTTATCCTTCTGTCAGTGTGTCTGTTTATCCCTGAAAATGACTCTAGTATTTGGAAAACTTTTTCCAATTTTAATTTCTAGTTTGTTATGTCTCTCTTTGGAAATATCTGAAGAATCTCTGAAGAGATAGCCTGGTATTTAAATATCCTCTGGTATGAATCTGGCAGAGCTGTGATACTGGGTCATTGGTAAATTTCAAAAATTGGTACAGGGCGTGATGAAAAGTGACCTCTAAGTTCTTTGTAGGAGGAGGGCCATGTTATTCTAAGGTGGCAAGAAATCAGTGGTTTGGTAGCACCTTTTTCAAAAGCAAATGTTATTAAAAGACATAAGCTTTCATGAGCTGCAGCACATTTCATCAGATGCAAAGAGAAGTACTTATCTTTGGTGTCCTCCTTCTGTTTTGTTTCCTATACACACTCCAACTCAATAGAAAGCTCTTTATGCAACAATCACATTCCTTTCCCTAAGGGCTTCCCATTTTTCTTTTTTACTGGAACGGTTTCTGTTGTGCTTTACGAATCTCACTTGTAAAAGAACTCCCATACACCTTATCTGTGGAAATGCACATCTTAAGCTTTCCTAAGTTTGGGATGTGCATCTATTTACAGCATGCATCCCCGATGTAATTAAAATGGGTCTGCCACTTAAGACTACCAAGTTTGATTTGAGCCATTTCTCAAATGACCATAACATCTTGAAAGTTATTAAAAGAAAATGATATCCTTAATTAGTTTTCAGTCAAAGTAAACTATGTAAAACTTGAGCAAAACAAATGCAGCATATTGACAGAACGGAAATTTAAATTGCCAAAACAAAACCAAGAGAATTGCCTAGAATTACATGTAGCTTGCTCTTCCAGCTGGCTTATATAATATGCTGCAACTCTTAATATGACTCAAGACTGGGGAAGGGAAACTAGACTGAAGCATCTAAATATATCCCTAACTGTACAGCAATCTTGCAATATTTATTATATTTTGCATTGTATTAGTAAAATTTAAAAGTGTTGATATGAGCTTTTCTTCCTTAGTATTCCATATGCTTGCGCACTGTAAATCTTAGATAAAGATTGTGCAATATTACTAAATATATTTCCAGTTGTTACAGCAAGATTAACAGCTTTTCCTTTCACATTTGACACTGCTTTGCAGACTGTACATAGCTCGAAAGGAACTCATAACCCAGAGATATCTCCAAAAGAACACAGAGCAGATGAGCAATGTGTAATAGCTGTGTGAACCCTGTTACCTAATCAAAGGCTAATCTTCAAGGACAAGGAAAAGTCCAGTAATTAATATTTTTCTGTTTTTGAATATAAGAATTCCAGTTCTTTATTTTTTTTAACTAACTTTATTAAATTTTAAAAGAAAAAGTAGTAAAAACTAACAAGAACTAATAGGAAGGAAGGAAGGAAGGAAGGAAGGAAGGAAGGAAGGAAGGAAGGAAGGAAG